TCCGCCTGCTCGCTTTCGCTTAGCTATGTCCGACATGCCTAAAAACTTTAACAATACAAAGTGAGTGAGGCTTGAGCGCTGGCAAACCTACGCCACCTGACCACACCACAAAGTTGGTACGTTCTTTTGCACTTTTGCAATGCCTGAGTCTGTACGAGTGTTGGTGCGTGCTATTGTCCTACGAAATTCTAACGTGCACACGATTGTACGAATTTATCTATAAATGATTGTTGTAAATATTTTTGTTATTGTTGCCTGGCCATTTTCGCATGCTATCCAGACATCTCTTACGACCTTGCGAGATAATAATAACAATGGCGACGGTCATTAGTTAACTTAATTGCGGCACGCATTGCACGTGCTAACTGCCTACATACCAATACCAATACATCGGCATATCGACTCTGTGCTGCGTAACTTACGCGCGTCGGCGATAGCTCTGCGTTTGCCGCCGCACTCCGCAGTCTCTGACGTTCGTCACTCTGAAATTTGTAGTATTTAATTGCCAGCCCACAATAAAAGATTAATTACGTGCATAAATAATGTTTAGTTTGTTTAAGTGAATGAATTAAACAAGTTGAGGCTGTAATCTATTACTTACCAACTTACGTGCTTACTTACGTGCATTAAGTTGCCGCTGCATCTCCACACACTCCTCCATATTGTTGGTTTAGCATTATTATTCAATTCAATTGAACAGTAGTTTGTTAAATTTGGGGAGGCGCCAGCTTCTTATGCGTACTCGTATGTATGTGTAAATATGTGAGTGTTAAATTGATAAGTTCAAAGGAGGTCAAGAGGCTCAAATTTTTTGATTGATTATTTATTTAGCGATGAAAGGCGAATAGAAATTAATTTAATTGCCTTGCACATGCACAAGTATTCATATGGTATATAGTCTAAAACTGGAAAAGTTCCTTCAGCTCGTTGACGGTAGGTGCTGATCTTTTACAAAATGCGCTAGGTCCAACCTTGTACTGCTATTGCGGAAACATATCCCATAAGAATTACTACACTACTACTACAGAACCCTTTATAGTACAGAACACACTCAGGTAACTGACGTCTCTTGATTTGCTGAGCTATATCAATGTCAGCGTATATCTCGTACAGCTCATCGTTCATTAATCGCACGTAGTACTTTTGTCTGAAAAACTTCCAAGGCCAACTCATCATATCTTTTCATTGTCCATGGCTTCGCACCAAATAGTAGAAGGTGAATAATCAGTGACTTTTAGAGTTTGGTTTAAGGCGAATTTATAGAAGGTGTAGTTGTCACATCATATGATTGCTGGCATTTCAACAAATTACAATAACAAAATACATGAGAAATAGATTCTGACATTACGAACTATCCATTACACCAACAAAATTCATTGAACAAATTTAGTTTTTGTCTGTTCGAAATTACAACAAATTTATTGCCGGCACTATCGCCATCGTATCGATTTCCAATCGATATTACCAATCGTTCTAAAATGTCCGTCAAAGACAACTCCTCTTGTCGAGTCTTTTTCTTATTGCCTGAATAAGTCGTCTTATTATTGTTTGAATGAGACATTTTCCTATTGCCACTGAGTCTTGTTAAATTATCTCCAAGATGATATTTGAGCAATAACAGTGTATTTTATTATTTATTTAAGTCATTTAACTTATAATAAGTTAACATAATAGTTTATGTATTTTCTAATAGTCAACAATTCAGTTGTAGAAATATTGCAATTTATTCCATGAAACAATCCATTTTTCCAATTCTGCGAAGGATTGAAAATGTGGACCTGCCAGGCCGTGCGCCATCGAAAGGAATAGGTGGAGGTCAGAAGGGGCGACATCTGGGGAATACGGCGGGTGGGGCCAGACTTTCCATTTCATCGTTTCCAGGTACTTTTTGACCACTTTTGCGACGTGAGGGCGAGCATTGTCGTGTTGGAGGATGACTTTGTCATGACGCTCTCGATATTGTGGCCGCTTTTCTTTTAGCGCGCGACTAAGGCGCATCAGTTGCGTTTGGTAGCGATCTCCTGTGATGGTTTCACCCGGTTTTAAGAACTCGTAGTAAAAGGTTGAAGGTTTTATATCTTCCACCACCATGTTTGTCTTCGACATCGAAATCACCATTTTTAAAACGTTGAAACCACTCCCGATACGTTCTTTCACTCAGAGCAGCATCTCCGTTTCTGAGAGCATTCGATGCGCTTCAGCTGCATTTTTTTTGAATTGCAACAGAAAAGTAAAACTTCCCGCAAATGGCGAGAATTAGGCACATAAACGGACATTTTCGAGCGTGAATAATACTAAAACAAGAACAACTGTCAGTGAAACGGCGATGAAAATTCCACATTCACTTTAAAGGCAGATGATAATGCCTGTATGTATTTCAACCAGCCTCAGCCGGTACAGCCACATATCGGAAAACGGCAGAAGCAAAGCTGTACACCTGATACGAATTTATTTTGGACCGATCCTTAATAAAATCGTCGGAGTCTGATTTATCATTAATGGGCATTGAAATGACATTAGGATTAGAAGGCTGTGAAGTGCTCGGCTGAATATATTTTAACTGGCGCCAGAGGGTTCCTTAAAGACCAAACTTCTTTTGAAAAATTAGTTACCACTCTCCTTGGGGATTGCCTTAGTTTCTTAAAACAAGTGCTCCTGTATAAAGTAGAAATTGCCTAAATTCGGTAGCTTACCATCTATCCAGCTCATTTACACTACTATATATGAGAAGAAAACCAAAATACACAGACTTTATGTTTTTGTTTTCTTGCTGCTACCATGTGTGAACTTGTTTTGGTTTCGTTCTTATTCGCCGAGAGCGAAACTTACTTTTCCAGTCCAAAGTAGTACCTCTTGTAACTCTTGCCAACAGTTCTTTCGTGTTGTATTTCAAGTCTGGCCTTGTTTTTGGCGTTAGTGCATATACCAAGATGAACTAATTATCTACAAGTTCAGATATATGACTGTTAGGGTCGACGGGGAGCCGAATCGTGCCTGTTCTAGCTTTTTATTTGAAGTTATTTCGTGCTTCGTACTGTACTCGTTCACCGTCAGGGTTGTTCGCTTCGCCTTCTGAACCAGTCGGTTTATGACACCAATGGTATCAATTTGCCATATTATTACCTCAAGCATTAAGTTAAAGAAGGCACATTATGAGGATATATCTTGTCTCAAACCCTTTTTTTTTGTATCGGAGAGTTTCTTATCGATGCTGAGGGAACTCTTAGTGTTACTGAGCATTAGCGGCGTAGAGACGGCGCCTCTTTCAGCTGTCAAATGCTTCCTTAAAATTGACAAAGAGTTGGTGTGCGTCGGTTTCTTCTTCTTGAATGCTTTTCAATATTAGCGGAATGATGAATATCTAGACAATTGTAAATTTACCAGGTCTGAAGCCACACTGAATATGTCCAACCCGTTTGTTGACGGCTGGCTATAGTCTTTTACATAAAATACAAGATGGACCTCAGACGTAATATTTCGGAGACTTAGGCAGATGGTGGAGCTATAATTTTGGAGTATTGGGAAGAGTATAATTAAGTTCCAACCAGCAGCCATGTTTCCGTACGACTTTATTTTGCCAAGACCCAGATATATGCGCCCTGTTTTGTTGTTTTTCAGATTGTTAATTTTTGCCTTTTTGAAAAACCCTCTAGTAGGGTTAAGAAACGTCGCAGCCATAGGGGTTTGGATTCACCATTTCCGGATGTCTAATATTCATTCCCATAGATCAAGCTAGCTAAGTGTTCACACCTTAAAATAAGTTTGCTCTATCAGTCATCATACTATCTCCTTATTTCCATGAGCCTGCTGCTTTCTTGAAACCTTCTGTTAGTCTTCGCATCCTTTCGTAAAATTTTGCGCACTACTTCTGTCGGCCAGCTTGCTGCTTTTTTTTGCGTGCGTTGTAGCGGCTCGCCATCTCCACTTAGGAACTGGCGAGACTGGTCTAAGTCATCGGGGTTATATGACGTCGAGAAAACTAGCCGTCTCAACGGGTTCGAGTCAAAGGGAAAGGAAGTTAAATGAGTTGGTTTAATGTGGCATGCATTGAGATGGTTAGTGTCGTGTGGGGTCATATGTGTATGTAAAAGTTGACCCGGATTTTATCAGGCCAAGCGCTGTCATCCTTTCGGCGATCTTACTCCATTTAGGTCATCAGGTAACTGAAAATCCTTCTCATCAGGACAGGCGTTGAATCCAACTCTGGTCCAATGGGTTATTTCTGCTGTGCGTGCCATAGATGACTCCACCATACTAACATGGTGATTAGATGCAACCTATGCCATATCTGGACCCATCTTAAGGCCTATGAAAAGGTGATATATATAAGAGTTAAATTAATAATAAAAAGCATAGCTATATGTCTTGAATTTGGAATACATTTTGATTGACTATCGACCCGAAGTTGGGGCAACAACCTCAAATAGTGTTTGGCTTTGAAATAATGTCATAAGTATCTTACTAAAAAATGTTCAACTAATATGGTGGGTGAAACTAAAAATCGTAATAACTGGACTTGGGCTAAACATATGTACATAGGTATAATAAGAATTTACATACGTACATTTATATATTATATTTTTGAGCAAACTAGTTTAGCTTGTATCGACTGAGTGAAGGTATGGGGCCCAGAGGTGACGAAACGCTGGAGTACTACCTTTGCGAATGACCGGCTTTCAAACGAGCCTTAAAGTATTTAACGAGTTTTGGGGATAGAAGAAAGCTTGAGTGAAGAAAATTAGACAGTTAATTAAATCGAGATTTCGCTAAAGTGCAGCTGGGTATACCAGGGTGCATAATGAACCGACTAAATGACTTAAATGCGTCCAACCTGTACAGGGTGTTTTCCATCATCCGGCGAGGTTAGCCAATAAAATGGTTATTAATACAGTGAAATGGAAATACCTTTAATGGTATACATATTGAAGTACAAAATAATACATTTCTCTATAAAACTTCTCTTAAACGCATTAATAAAGAAGTAATTTTTTTATTTGCAGGATATCAAACGACATGACCAAGGTGTCTACCGTTGCCGCATCGACTTCCGTACAAGTCAAACACAAAGCTTCCGCTTCAATCTCACTGTAATAAGTAAGTCAATTACCATCATAAAGTATATTATTATATAAAATTAAAATTAGAAAAAAAAAACAAACATAAATAAAAAAGAATAAACAAAAAAAAAAATAAAAAATAAAAATCAAAAATACAATAAAAAAAATTAGAAAAATTCTTAAAATTAAATTAAAATTTTTTTTTTGGTGGCACAAGCTATATTATTTCCGTTTTTGCAGCCACCAACTTGTAATCAAAATTAGTACATTTCTTATAAATTCCTGTACCGTACACGTTTTGTCAATTACGGTTTAACTAAACGGAAGCTTCCGCTTTGCCTTTTGCAGTACTTCCTGAACAACCAATCATATTGGATCGTTGGGGGCGACAATTGAATGGCACGCTGCTGGGTCCCAAGCAGGAAGGTGATGATATTGTTATCACGTGTCGTGTGGTGGGAGGTGAGTATGAGGTTTTTACCTTCAAAATATATTGTTCTGAAATATTTTTGGAAATTTAAACAGTATTTTTGTAAGCACCGAACACTTGGATTTTAGAATTTAATTTCCTGTTTATAACTTAGCAGGCAAATGGATTAACTTAAATGAACAAAAAAAAATTTTCTTTATCGCACACACACACACATACACATAGAAGCGACCACTTACTGTTGAATTTATTGAACCATTTACTTAGTTGAGTTCTTATTTGGGCTTTTTCTCTTCTTCTATTTATTCTTTCTCGATGTGCGCCTGCTGTTCTCTACAAACTGCTGCAACCGCAACGCAACAATCATTTACAAAATAATAACAACAACAATCGCTTCAACTACTGTTGCCATTACAACAACGACAATATCCCTGTTTGTCTACTCAACCACCGGTACTCAATGCCGCTCATCGCTCTCTACAGGTCGGCCACAACCTCAAGTACGCTGGCTCGTGAATGGACTACTTGTCGACAATCAATACGAACACAATTCCGGCGATGTTATCGAGAATAGGCTACTTTGGCCGTCGGTTCAACGGACTGATTTAAATTCAGTTTTTACTTGTCAAGCATTGAATACACAATTAGATAAGCCTAAGGAGAAAAGCTTTTTGCTTGATATGCATTGTAAGTTTGCTTTTGAGTTTCTATTTTTATACTATTTTTTTTCTTAATTTTGAAGTACGGTATTGAACGTGTCGTACACGCATGTGTAGAGGTGAAAAAAATTGGAGAGAAAACTAAAATAAAACGGCTCGTGACTAAACAAACCGACAACGGAAGTTTGGTTGTTCCCCAAACAACAACATGGAAGTTTTGGGGCAGAAGTGTGTATGTAGTGAGCAAATAACAGGTGGAGGGTGTAAGCTTGTTGGCCTACGTGTGTGCAGTACTAAGCCTGTTCAAATGAAAATAATCAAAAATGGCACACGTACAAACATTTGTGAAATACATACATATGTATGTGCGTTGTTCGACGTCGACGCCTACCATATGGTCATAAGCTCACATGCACACATGCTAGTGCGCCTGAAAGTGTGCTAACGTATTTTGATGTTCTAATTAGGCAAAGGTGCTTGCTCGCATGGTTGTTTACCCAGCAATACGCATATATACATATACATACACACGTATATGCTTATATAAAAGTATATACAGTGAGGTGTAAAAGGGATTTATTAAATATAAACAATCATTTTAGTTAGTTTTTGCAGGATTTTAGATATTTGGAATTAGAACAAAAAAATATTTAAAAGTTTTCATTTTCAAAAATTACATACTTTTTTTAAATTTGTTTTTTACATCATTTCAATCAATACAACTTAAATTAAACTTTATTTGTATTTTAATTATTTTTTATTATTTAATTTATTTATTTATTTCAATTTCGGTATTGATTTTAAAATTAAAATTAATTAATTTATTTTAATTTCAATTTTATTTATTAATTTGAGTTTGAATTTGAATTTGAATTTGAATTTTAGTTTTAATTTTAATTTTAATTTTAATTTTAATTTAACTTTTACTTTTACTTTTAATTTGAATTCGAATTTTAATTTGAATTTGAATTTGAATTTGAATTTGAATTT